GCCCCCAGCCGGGCGAGGCCCCCGGGGAGCAGCTTTTCTCGCCCCGGAGGTCGAGGTGGCTGACCGCTGCCTGTGAGCTCCGGGGCGAGAAAGCCCTGTTCGTAAGTGCGGATCCGACATAAGTCGGATCCGCGTAAGTCGGGGACTGCCTGTATTCAACTTTAAAAGAGCAACACTGGCATGTACATAAAATATAAGTTTTTATTATTAATTATTATTAAATACCTTGCCAGTGGCCTCAAGTTTTGTACCCGCTGCATTAACTAGAGCCACCTGGATTTGCATGTGGAAGAATATGAAAAATATTATCTCTATTTTTATTTAGAGCGGGATTTTCACAAGTGCTCTCTTTGAACAAAGCTCCTCAGAGCAACACTGGCATGTACATAAAATATAAGTTTTTATTATTAATTATTATTAAATACCTTGCCAGTGGCCTCAAGTTTTGTACCCGCTGCATTAACTAGAGCCACCTGGATTTGCATGTGGAAGAATATGAAAAATATTATCTCTATTTTTATTTAGAGCGGGATTTTCACAAGTGCTCTCTTTGAACAAAGCTCCTCCTGGGAAAAGAGTTAGATCACTGCTGAAGTGTTGGAAAACCCAGCCTTCAACTCCTAAAGCAATCTAGCTTACGTGTCTCCTTAAAAGGTTGCATAGGGGTAGAGATGTAAAAAGGTTCTACTGTCACTTGTTCGAGGTGGGCCACATGGCTCATATACCTGCTCCTGTGATGTGCTGATTGACTTGTTTTGCCACCACCTTGCATCATCACTAATGGTTGTGCAAAGTGGGTACAGAATACCATCACAACAGAATTGTGTACTTGCTTTGCACAGGTGTAAAGGCTGTGGAAAATCAGGTTTTATACATTGCAGAAGAATCCTGTTTTCATTTTAAATCAATTCAATAATCCTAAACACATTAAAAGTTAACAGGGGCCTTATTGTTATTGTTTCTGTTATTACTCAGGCAAATTACCAGGGACTGCAACTGCAGGTTTGCTTTATGAAGACTTCTAGATTTGATTCAATATAAATATATGCAGAACAATGCAAACAAAGAGTTTGAACATTGATTTTTAATTTCAGCCATACACACTGACTTTTTAAATGCCCACATTAGCTTAAAATCAAGAAAGTATTTTATCCATTACCTGTCGGACGCAGTAAGCACAGTGAGGGCATCTTTCTGCACATACATCAACTTAATAGCCTTCATATTATGTGGCTTTACACACAAACTGGCAGGCCTGGACGGTGAGCAGACTATGTCCCACACCACCAGCTTTCCTCCAGATGTGGCTGTGAGTGCTTGCAAATTGCTAAAATGAAAAACTGACTGACTAAAGAGTCCCACTGTCTTGTCGAAAGTCTGCAAAGGAAGCAGAAAGATGCTGCATGGCATTCTCTGCAAAGTAAAAAACTAACCTACCCTTGCAAAGTCAACTGAAATTAAAGAGAAAAAATAACCTCATAAATCTGACTGTAGGAAACTCCTGGTGTTATAGGCAGCAAGGTGCTTTAGAGAACAACAGCCACACTCCTGAACACTCACAGAATTCCAGCTACATAAATGTTGGTTGCAGGGAGGAGCT